TTTGCCTTACCATAAGCTTTCGTTTGAGCCTTGTCTCGTTGACCAACTCGGGTATACTAGTCTGTTGAACCATGATGATTCAGTATTTCGTGAGTTTAGCGCATAAAAATGGAAAACTGGCAACGCTGTACAGCCCAAACGAGGTTTCACTTCAAGTTGAAACTTTTCCCGGAAGTTTGCCTTAACATAAGCTTTCGTTTGAGCCCTGTCCCGTTGACCAACTCGGGTATAATAGTCTGTTGAACCATGACGATTCAGTATTTCGTGAGTTTAGCGCATAAAAATGGAAAATTGGAACGCTGTACAGCCTAAACGAGGTTTCACTTCAAGTTGAAACTTTTCCTGGAAGTTTGCCTTACTATAAGCTTTCGTTTGAGCCCTGTCCCGTTGACCAACTCGGGTATAATAGTCTGTTGAACCATGATGATTCAGTATTTCGTGAGTTTAGCGCATAAAAATGGAAAATTGGCAACGCTGTACAGCCTAAACGAGGTTTCACTTCAAGTTGAAACTTTTCCTGGAAGTTTGCCTTACCATAAGCTTTCATTTGAGCCCCATCCCGTTGACCAACTTGGGTATAATAGTCTACTTATGCACCGGACTAATAGTCCAATATCCTTGATTTTAGCACATGAAACTGGAAAATTGGCAACGCTGTACAGCTTAAACCAGGGGTCGCTTCAAGTTGAAACTTTGCATGGAAGTTTGCCTTACCATAGGCTTTCATTTGAGCGCTGTCCGGTTGACCAACTCGGGTATAAAAAAAGGGGCTAAAAAACACCACTTTTTGGCGAGGCTCTTTCAAGGACAAATATTAAGAGCTCTCCACAAAAATGAACATTTCATGGAAGGAAATTAGGCAACTCTCTAATGTTCATACGGCGTTTTTCCTTATAGTACGGCAGAAATCTCTTGGGTTTCGTCGCTCTAAATGGTTGTAAAACAATCGCTATTCTTGCCAAATTCCCTTCAATAAAATGTTAATTTTTGAGGAAAGTTTAGAAAGTTTTTCCTTGAAATTTTCAAAAACTTCAGATAAAATTGCAAACAACATTATCTGAAAAATTGAAAGAAAAATATTCATAAGTCTACCAGGAAATTCGTGTTTTATAAATGGAAATTTGGCAACGCCTGAAGGCTCATACGGCGTTTTTCCTTACTTATTCATCGAGGCAGGTTTCCTCGTTAAAAATCGATAAATTATGTTGGAATTCAAGAAGGAATACAGTGCGAGAATGACTCACTCGACAAGGTATGATTTAAGAAACTATGCAACATATTTTATTTTCAAAACTTTTGACAAAGGAAAGTAACTCCAAAGTTGCAAAATTGAAACAATTTAAGTTGTTACAAAATTGTACCTGTGAAATTTTTTTGAGAATTTTTCTGATGCATAAGATCAGAAGGAAAATTGGTGAAAGTTTTAGGTAGAAGTAGCTGAAATTCTTCCGGTAAAAATGCGATTTACGAGGGGAAATTTGGCAACAATGAACTGTAGTTCCATTCTCTCGTGAAGGAAACGACACAATCTCCGCTAGTATCCAATGGCCCGCTTTATTTAGATGGTCTAGCCGTTACTTTACGTCATTTCCGATTTACATTGATGGTGTGATAGCTGAAACTACATCTAATATGGACAGAAATATTGTTCTTGAAGAAATGCTTGATAGCTAAGAAACCAAAAATAAAGCAGTCGGAGGCACTCGCTTCTTAAAAGTCATAATAACTAACGGTAACCTTTTGCGTCCAAATCACATCACTTGGAGGAAGAAGACTTAATTTTGACACCTTGAAGACGGAGCCAATTACGATACGTCTCATTTTCTTTTAATAAGTAGTTTTACTGCCTCTAATTACAGCAAAGAAACAGTTGGAGATGTGTAGTCGGTGTTGAAGTGATACAGTTTGTCTCGATCCAATAGCATCAAAATGCAATTGATTTATTTAATTTATTTATTGATCGATAATAATTGATTTATTTAATTTATTTATTGATCGATAATAATTGATTTATTTTAAACTTAATAAATAAATTGCGTCAGAAAATTTTTCTTTGTTCTTTCTGAACAACAAAACATTAACAGCTATACTGCACTTCTTTGGAAGTGTGGAAGTATGCCATGGGTAAATTAACATTGAGTACCCGTTTAAGAGGGATACTAGTACCCTGCGGTGGGACCCTTGGATATTTATATTTTTAAGATCTGAAAAATGTTTATGTATCAAAAAGTTTTGGAGCACCAGTTTCGCACGACTCGATCCGAAACTATGAAGATAGTGCAAACACAATTCTAATGTTCGTAATTCGTTTCACAAGTTTAGTGCGGATATAAAACACACGTTCTCAAATTAGATTCAACAATGTGCGCCCTGGTCATACTCGTAGCGATCGCTTTTGTTTCGGTTGCTAAAGGCAGGCGAAAACCGCGCAAACTCGCGAAACCATCGAGAGAAAACCACGCAAATAACCAATAAAGCCAAGCGGAGAAGTCACAAACAACTGCAGTATTAGCGTATAAACGAGATCCTGTTCGATTTGTCCTGTTACGCTCTGTATGTATGACTGTATTTTTATCGCCAGGAAGTAAGACTTAGCCCCCACGAAAACTGAGAAAAAGGAAAGAAAACAGAGAAAAATCAATTAAAATAAAAATAATTGAGTTTTAACTCAGAATTACAAGCAAGGGACTGATCGCGCCTTCATCTAGGCAGGTATGCAATATAAGCTACTTGAGAGTTAAAATAGTTGTATCACGTAGTTTGGGCACCTATTGTGGCGCATCGAACGTTTGACTCGAGTCTCTCTGTAATGGAAGAGTAACTGGTGTAGCTCTACTATTTTCAAGGTGTCCGGATGTTTCACAAAATAATAGTAAGATCTACAAGTGTCGATACAATTGAATCTAGTGTAAATTTGCTCGTTTTGGTTAGATGGTGATGCGCCGACGATCGAAGTTTTCTGGCAGATGGGAAATCTGTTCATGAAAAAATAGTCTACAGAAATTTATGTGACTATTCTGGGATTCTTCTCCCTATAACTAACAAGGGGATCCTTTTTTCATCAAGTTTTTATAATTTAAAAAAATCCTTGCTTCGGAAACAAATTCTTTTTGCTCAGAAAGAATTGCCAGGTTTTAAGAAAACATTTATTCTATTAAAAGAAAGATTATTGGAGTGAATTATTTTTTTTTTTCTTTCGAGGTATTATTGTTAATGCCTTTCATTCTATTCTGGAAGCAAAGGTTTTTTTTTTTTTTAAAAAAAAAAAATACATGTAAAAATCGAGCCAAAAACGTATATTTAAATCAATGACCAATATTTTAAATGGAAATAATCAACTTTTTTAACAGTTTACTCATGGTGCATATGAAATATATTTTTTCAAAGTAATCTGGATCTATTCTTTTATTTCTTTCAGGGTAAGAAAAATTCCGACTGTCAACTTTTAAAATGTCGACTGACAAATGCTCATGAAACCAGTTTGAGCCATGAAAGAGGTCATGCCTCTCCTGCTGACGGTAAGTATCCCTAATTTTCAAATTAGGGTATGGACAGAAATTCTACAATTTTAGATCAAAGTAACGTCCAAGTTTCTTTAATTGGAAGTTTTTTTTTTTTTTAGTTGTGAGGTGACTTTTAAACGTGGGAAGTTTAATTGCGATTCTGGCACGTTAGTAACACGAATTCCATCCATTAAAATTTATGTGAAACTAGACGATATCCATCGAAACAAGTCACACCATCTAGAATAGATTATGAATATTGCATTTGAGCCGAGGAAAGTCTGTGTTATCTGATTTCAAAAAATTGAGAATGGGAATATTTATTGGATTTTCAATAAATAAACTCAGAGTTAATAAAAATGAAATCAAGTGATGGGCATGAATGAAATAAACTTTTGAGCCACTTTCATTGCGATGAATCCACAAAAAGCGAGTAAAAACAAACATCCCGTTTCTGGAATTAGTCGACAGATAAGTCAATAAATTCAGAATTTTCGCAAATTGTATGACATCAAAAGCTTTATTATTCTTTTCATTTGTCGAAGCTACAGACTCGTTATATTTATATGTCTGATTTTTCGCAGGCCTAACTCCAAACAGCAGTGCTGTGCCATTGTTAAAAGAAAAACCTTTAGAACTTTTGGTAAGTAATATGAAATGAGCCATACAATTTTCATAGATACTACAACATTGATATTGAGTTCACTAAATCGATGGTTCCTTAAAATAATGAATGCGGATTGTAGCTGCGCATTAATATTTATGAGGCAGCCGACATGAAAAATATTAGTCAGAGCACTGAAATAAGGATTCAAATTTAATGTCAAACGGCAAATTTCATTGGTCCTTGAGGCAAAAAGACCCTGCTAAAGTGTTGAACATGGGAGAAAATAAGATAACTGATCCAAGAAATTCAGGGGATATTTCTGCATGATTACGCGCAAAGGAACCCTAAAAATTGAAAAATTGACACTTCGAAGCATTTCAAAACTGAGATACGATATATAGCAAATTTGAGAAAAAAAACAGGAAATTTTGCGGATGCTTTGTTGCCAACTGTAGAAATAATGAATTAAAACCTTCATAACATGAAAATCTTAACATGAACTTGATTGACACTTACTTTCTTTTTCGCCCGATGAATTCATCGGGCGAAAAAGAAAGTAAGTGTCAATCACGTAGTTCCCGATTAAGAAACAAAGGATTAGTTAACATGAACTTTTGACACGAAGCTCGTGAGTCTCGAAGAGTACAATATATGTTCATTATATAAGAAATATTTGGTGCTCATTGCACCAAATTTCATCTCAGGACAATCCCAAGTAGCAGTGATCACGATAAGTTGCGATTTGATCGGAGAATGTATCGCGATTTTGTCCACGTCGATTCATTGAAACATTATTGGATGAAAAATTGCGATTAAACACATAAATTTGCAATAAAATCGACAGCGATTATCGCAATATTATTGGGAAAAAAATCACGATAAATTGAGATTTATTTCGATTTTCGAACGCGATTTTATAGAGATAAAATTGCGACTAGATCGAGGATAATTGCTGCGATTTTGATGATCCTGGCTATTTTATCGCCAAAAAATCGTAGAAGAATCGAGACTTAATTTAAAAATATCGCGATTTTTCCGTCAAAAATTGCTACTTGGGATTGGGATTCAAATTTTCGGACTAAGTCGGAAGGGTTTTTCGTTTTCCCTAGGAACTCGAGCAATGCTCAACGGAAGCTTTGAATTCTCAGAGAGATCCACCGGAAGTAGCACGGATATTTTCATTCCTGCAAATCCTGACTGCCATTTTTGGTTCCTTCGCTCACGGTGGAAACGATGTCAGGTAGGCAAGACTTCCAGTAACAACCAATTTTTCCTGTGTTCAAAGTGATCATCAGGAGATGAGGTCCCAAGGCCGTTATTAGGTTTTCAAGTAAGATATTTAGTACAAGCAGAAAGTTCAACAGCGATTTTTGAGACTTCGCATCCTATTTGTTACGGTGGCAAAGTTACTAAAACACAGAAATGTAGTTTGACTGTCATGACTATGATTTGACTAACATCCCAAACACAGGTAAAAAATACCTTAAACAAATGCATACAAATACTTGGAAACCGCTTAATTTTTCGTGAATAGCATTAAATTCAACTCGAAATTTTTGACTGGAAGCATTTCAGATTGATGACCTAGGTTTTGGTGTACGAAGTTGCTTACTCTCAGTCATATTTTATTTCTTAGGTGGGAATGTAATCAATTCGACTGATTGGAAATACCCATGATTTTGTGTCCGCTTCTTGAATAATGTTCTGTAAAAAATTGAGGCAATGAGGTTTACATGTTTATTCATTGAAAAAATAATCAAAATACGACCAGAGCTAACCCTGGTCTTATAAAGTTCAAAAGTGGAAGGAGAGTATCACGTCTCAGGGTTCAGAAACATACGGTCAATATATAAAAATAAGAGATTTCCAGGTTAAGTTGTGAAAGATTTTCATGCACTTTTTGTATTTTTGTATATTACAGCAACGCCATCGGTCCACTGATCGCAATTTGGATGATTTACTCGGAGGGGTCAGTGGAACAAAAAGCAGAAACGCCAATATACATCCTTCTTTACGGCGGCATCGGTATTTCTTGCGGTCTTTGGATTTGGGGTCGGCGAGTGATCAAGACCATAGGAGAGGATCTAACTAAAATCACACCCTCTACGTAAGTTTTTTCGAGAAAAAAATGGAGTGGTTGAATTTGCCATTAATCTTTGTGATCGTCTACAAGAGAGAGAACTTAGGGCTTTATTCATATTCGTTTCCTAAGTAGTATTTTCCTCTTGGAGGTCCGTTATGGTTCAAGCTGTGATTGAGGGAGGTTGAAGGAAGTCCCAAAAACTACCCTGCTGAGGGAAAATGCCGTATGTACATTTGGGAGTTGCCATGGTTCCAGCACGGACCACCTTTTCTTCAATTCTGATTATTCACATTTCATCGTCGAAAGCTCATTTTATCCGTGCGAAACTTATTGAATTCACAACCGCTTTTGAGGAAGTTGCGATCTTGAAAACGGCGACTTTCTCAGACTTGCATGAGAATACGATGACCAAACCAAGAAGACTTGAAAACCGCAATCTGAACCGAGCGTTTGGACTCTCTTTTTTGAAATCAGATTTACAGAAAAAAAATATTGAAACGTGCAATAATGTTCTTCGGGCATTTTTTAAAACTACGGCCCGATTAAGGACTCCAAAATTTTGAACATTTCTAGTCAACATCATTGTACAGGGCCACTCAGCGTACCCAGATACGATACCGAAGAGCGCCTTCAAACCACTATGTAATCTTAATGCGAAATTCTAATACCACTATTCGTGCGTCACGACGGTCATTTTGCATAGCCGGCCAATTGAAGGCAAATCATTGACCAAGGCAACAGGGTACGAATTTCAGCAATGTGATACGTGTTTTTCGAAAACAAAACCTCCGGGGGTGCGCCTTCGATTGATAAGCATTTAGCAACTTTTCAAAACCAGCAAATTCCCGAAAATATATAAACACAGAACAGCTGATCAGTTTACGCATGCTGCAGGCGGAAAACACTGAGGAACGCGGAAAACACTGAGGAACGCGGAAAACACACGCGTTGTGCTTAAGGCGCGCCGGATCAAATGAAGGGGCTAGAAGGAGATACACATTTCTGCACTTAAGCCTGAGATACGAGAAAAAAGCTCTACGGTTTTAGGTGCGACATCCCGATTTTTTTCGAATATAGTTTTGCTGGCAGATAGACGAAATCTTCAACAGAACGTTTATGCAGCTGACTCAAAACTGTCAAAAATTTTGAAACTCACTTCTGCACTTGTTGCTAAGTTTGCTGTCAAGGGAATAAAACGGTAGGCGAAATTACGGAACGGTTACTAATGGTTAAATTCGTACATTAAAAATACATCTAAATTACAACATTTCCTTTACCTTGAATTTATTCATTTCCTAAATTTCCAGAGGTTTCACGATCGAGATTGGGGCCGCTTTCACCGTGTTGCTTGCATCCAAAGTTGGTCTTCCCATCAGCACGACCCATTGTAAAGTTGGGTCGGTTGTGTTCGTCGGTTGGGTCAGCTCCTCAAAAGCCGAAGGCGTCGATTGGAAATTATTCAGGTGAGGAATTTGAGACGATTTCATACTTGACGTCACCTAACGTAAATTCTAGCAAGGTGGTGACACTGACTTTTCTTTAAAACTGTTTACATTAAATTTGGGACATTAGGGACCACTCAGGAGAGAGGATTCGTCTGCAAAACTCAAAATTGAGCGATTAATCTTCGGCTAAAAGGAAATATTCTACGAACATTCCATCCCTTCCCGGTCGAAAAAATGTAACTCCGTCGCAAGATCGTAAAACTGACTCATACTCAATTTTTTACAAGGATCTTCCTGCTCGATTTTCCCTAAATTTGTCTGATTTTTGTATGAGATCAGGAGAAAAATCAGGAAGATTTTCGTTTACAAATGCTCAAGATTCTCCCGGTAAAAGTGCAATTTTCGAGGGAAAAATAGTATAATAGATTTAAAGTTTTGTTTTTGATGTACTGCGCAGACTTTCTATGCAGAAGCCCTGTTTTGGTGTTTTTGGGTGACCTAACCCTTCTATTGAAGGTTGCCGAGTAGATTTTGCGATACATTTTGGGTTTACACTCTAATATATTTAATTTAAAAAAACGGTTTATAGGCCATTATTACACCCAACAGTCATTTTGGTGGCAATATGAAGTATGAATCATTTTAATTACGCATGATTAACGCAAAATGAAAGAATATTGATAGTGAGTAAAGAAAAGGGTAACTAGCACCTTATAGGCCCTTAAGTTTAAAGGCCCGTTTATAGGTCGTTCTTGCACCCATCGATCCAGAGGCCTGACTTAACTCGGAAAAAAAAGGTTTTTCGACCTCGAGCCGTTACCTATCTATATTCTATCGCTACCACAGCATAGTCTAGGGTACGTAGAATCCGAAAAGCAGATGGGCGTAATAACGATCTATACGCCTATAGGCTGATCTTGGTGCGGTGTCCTCAATTGCAAAACTCAGTCCATATTATAAACGGTGAAACTGCTGAGTGCAGATATGCGTACCTCAATTTGCGGTGTTGCTGACTTCCTGATGTCGTATTTCATTTTTTACATAAAAAATTGCTAAATGTGATGTTTAAGAAACTTCAGTGATTTTCTTTCATTGTGTACAGAATATACTGTGAAAATTACAAGCTATGATGTTGGTTTCATCCCATTTGAATAAATAAAATAGAAGCGGAGATTTTGAAATAGCGCAACTGAGATACGAATTTTTGCGTCATGTAGACATTTGAATTGCATTTTGCGGTGAGGTACCACTACTTCTGGCTCACAAATGGAAACCTTCATCTGCATAGGAAAATTGGCAACACAGACTATGTTTCTAAAATATGCCAGAAATTGTAAATCCTCATTGAAAAATGTTGTTCATTATGTGCTCAACGAGATTTATGTTCACTTTCACCTGGTAGATATCCACTTTGTTGGTTGTATCTCTTATTCATAATAAAATCATTAAAAATGAATCCGCCTGTCTTTTGTTACAGAAACATCATCTACGCATGGGTTGTGACTATTCCCGTTGCTGGTGGTCTCAGTGCTGCAATCATGTTTATTTTAAAACACGCTTACCTATAAAACTCGATTGATACAAAAGGAGTTCCTATTCATGCAAACAAAGATTAGGCCTTTAAAGCCTGTTTTTACATACTTTGCAGTAACAGTCTCAAAAATGTAAGATGTGAACGTTGAAGTGTGTCTAACGCAAAACACTGAAATGAGCTACAATGCAATAAAGATGACCTTACATGTATCGTGTATAATACGCAGTAGTGCGAACATGAGAAAAACGAGGGCCCACACAGAATTTAATGGCGGTACCATCATTACCAACTGGGTACCTTATTGCTTCCACCATTTTCTTACATTTTCAATATTGGGCCGCACCGATCATTGCCACGCTCTCTTTCTTTAATTGCTTCATCTGGTGCTAAATTGACCTCGTAATTATCACAATTTTGATCCTCCGCCTTTTAGATACATTGTAAATAATCGAGTATGGAGAAGGCACCCTGCGGGTCAATTGTTGAACAGTTATCGAATGACCTTGATCGATATATAGCATTGTGAAGATAGGGAGTTATCGATTGTTGAATCGTTATCGAATGACCTTGATCGATATATAGCATTGTGAAGAGAGGGAGTTATCGATCAAACTCATTTGACACTGATTTAACGATCGACTCGCATAGGGCTGATAAGGTGAGGTTGGGTAACTGGGCAGGAGTTCGGAGAAAAATGTCAAAATTTCAATTTCATGATTTTTTTCCCATCATTATATTGACAGTGGAGGCTACTTTTAAATTTTTTTTAGTAAGTACAACACCTTGTCTAAATGTAGGAAGAGTCAAAAGTCGAATTTCATCTTTCAATTTTTTCCCACAAATTTTCAAAAATTTCCCGTTTTTTTCACCCAGTTACCCAACGTCGTGGGGTAACTGGACTACCCCCCCTTAATTTTTGAGGGGGGCATTATTTTTAATTCTCATTGGCCAGAAAGTGATGTCCTGCTCATGAAGGTTTAAGAAAATGTCATTTGAATGTATATAAACATGTTTAAGTGGTAAAGAATGATGTCGTAACAGTTAGCGGCAAAAAAACCCTCAAATCTGAGAATTGAATAACGGTAAAAAAAATTGTTTCCTTGTAGATTAATGCTTAGAACTTTCTGTATTACTACTTATAAAGTAGTATTGTATACCAGGACACTGTTTGGCCACTTTTAGTGAGATTAAGCATGATACATTTTTAAAAAATGAAAAAAAATTAAGCCGCAAGGCTGATCTGGGATAGAGTCAGGCGCCAAAAAGTTCCCTTAATTTTTAAGGGGGGCATTATTTGTAATTCTCATTGGCCAGAAAAGAATGTCCTTCTCATGAGGGTTTCAGAGAATTTCATTTGAATTTATATAACCATGTTTAAGTCGTTAAAAGTGATGTCATAACAGTTAGCGGCAAAAATGTAATTAAGTAATGCTTAAGTTATGCTATAATTGACTTAAGTTAGAATTTTAGTGTGCTGGGAACCCTGATTATTGGTCTTTGGCACTTAAAAGTCCACAATAGTCAATTAGTTTTGACATTTTCAGAAGTAAACAAACACCGAAGCACAGCAACCTTGCAATGGGTAACTGGGCAGGTGCCACCACTGCCACCTGCCCAGTTACCTTGGGGTGGGTGCCCAGTTACCCCACAAAGGGAAAATTTTCAAGGTAACTGGGCATCAACCCTTTGCAGCCAGTATTTTCATCCAATTACGTTGTAATTACTCACGCATTACACAAATACGTCATACATGAAGAAGAATTGTCAAAGTTGAATAAAATACTTGCTGGGAGTGAGATATGAGGCTCTTTTCGGGACCACCTCCGGCGTTGTTTTGAAAAAAAAGCTGTCCAATTTTCGGCACTTCACCATTCACCATAAAATTTTTTTTTGAAGTTATGTTTACATGTTCTAGATGGTTTACGTCATAATGAAGGTATGCCAACAGTGAAAACAATTTTTGCACTAATCTGGTAGAAATACAGAGGGTACTGCCCAGTTACCCCACCGCCCAGTTACCCAACCTCACCTTAGATGAAATTGATGGGCAAAGCTATAGACAAAAAAAAACAAAGGGTAAATGGAGCGATCTAGTTGGCTGAATCGGGTGGTTGTTAAGACTAAGGGGGAAAAACTAGTAAATTTAATCGCATGAAATTTTCAAACAAGATTCTTCGAGAAAAGGCGGATATTTCAAAGATAGGTATCGCATTGAGTAGTTCTCTAATAAAATATAAAGTACATCGAGCAATTTGTAACGTTGTAAACAAAGGACTAAGATTTCAAAGTTCAGCCGTCGCTATCGTGTATACACCTACCTGATGTTAGTGTTAAAACTAACATGGACTCATATGTTGTTTATTTTCTTCCACGGAAATCCATGATTCTTGGTGGAATGTAATTTGTTAAGTTTTGAAATTTGTGGAAACAAGCTACTCATACTCATGGGTGCAAAGTAATCTATTTTCTCGCGTCTTTCTTACGCGATGAAAATTGTTGATCGTCCAAAATGTTAACGGCGGTTTTTTATTACCTGAAATCATACATTTATAGTTGCCTCACTTCTAGGTGGAGGGCTGCATTGTCCCGAAAACATTCTTCTCGTCACTTCCGATTTGCACAAAAGAATTTGTGCTGCTCCAACGTGTTACTTCCAAATGACGAAACGTACACTGTACAGGGTGCCTTAATGAAGCATTTTTAAGACGATGAAATCGCAATTCAAGGTGAAAATCGAAAAACGCGCTTCTAGACTTCGAAGTTGCAAACTCTGTTGATAATTGATTGTTCATGTCTTGAAAAAAAAGGAAAGAAACTAATTTTTTCATTGAAACATTAACAGAATATTCTATGTAGAACGTAAAACAATTAGTAAATATTCTGATGAATTATTTTCGTTGGTTTTCCATTTAGAAAATAATCTGCGATCGGAAACTTGCAACTTCGCAGATCGAAACGCTTGTTTTCAGCCTTCATCTTCGGCGATTGTTTCTCGTCAAAATCTATTCAGAAATATTAAAAAAATAGAGTTTTATTTCAAACTTGAAAACAAAGCCCTCTGCTTTTTTAAGAGCGGCGCGGCGTGTGCATGTTGCATTTGGAGATAATCTTAAATATGGTAACATGAAAGCATATTGTTTTGATTGCATTACTGCATTGAATTATTGACTTTTCATGCAAGAATTATTGCTCTCTCGTTGAATTGACAAGAATCTACAAAACGATAGAAGAGTCTATTGGATTTGTGTCTATAGAATAGTAAACCTTGCATTTTAAGAGCATGAAGTAAAGGTTGACCTGAGATGATTATCAATGAAATGATGGGGAAATAATTTTGCTCAATTTAAATTAACGATTGTTAATTCGTAATTCCCAGGAGAATTACTCACTCATCGTCAATATATAAGCTTTTCTATCACCAACCTATTTTACCTCTAGTATTACGTTTACAGTAGTCTTAATAAAATACACTCTTAAGAAAGTAATTTATGGTGATATTGATGACAAGTTATTTCAGGTTCGTGAACTTAATGTCCATTTACTCGTAGTTTCAGCTCCAATCCCCTTGCACCAAGGGCGAGGAGGTGCGGCGCATCTACGTATCAATCAAGGGATACTTTGCGCAGGAAAATATTGAGTGATATTCACTTTCAAAGTCAATTTTTTTTTACATTCGAAGATAGTTCTCCACGGAGACAGCTTGGCAGACGAATCTGAAATAAAAAAACGATTCAAGCATTTTCCATTCCAAGTCCTGTTTAAAGAAAACTGAAAATTGCAAGTACCTCATTGCATGTGCAACTATAAAATTCCCTCAGTTTCCTCACAGTCTCGTTATTTCCCTCCATCGTCCTCCCTAATCTCCTAAATTTAGACAATGAAACATTTGGCTTATGCGATAATAACCCACATTAAAAATCTTTAAATGTCTATCTTTATACTCAACTCTCGTTGTTACTAAAAGCTTATTCTGTGTTTAAAAAAAGTGTTTTCCACATATATAAAAATGACGTCAGCGTAAGAAACTTAGGTCGGTCATTGGGACAATACTATATTCATCTGATTTCTATCAAAGCGAATCATATTAATTTGTTGTACACAGATTATGTGTCGGGTGCTCTATTTTTGCATTTTATTTACTATCAAATAATCTGCGCATGGTACCGTATTTTATCAAGGGGCCCCCTATCAGGGGGTCAAAGGGGCACCCTATTAGGGGGTCAAAGGGGCACCCTATTAGGGGGTCGCAGAAGTAAATCCCGTCGAGAGCATTCTGAAGGACTCAATTAGCTCCTTAAAGGGGACTTGCCCAGCTCTAAAACTGGGTTCGGGAGACCCTGCCGATAAAATTTGGAAATTGTGAGTCGTTAGAAGATACATTTTTGACTGCTTTTGACAAAAAGTTGATTGAAAAAAACATTTCAAGGATGAAGGCTACACAGTTTCTTCAGCAAAATTTCGCACACTTTTTGCAACGGGTTGAGGGGATTATTAAATAGACGCCCTCTTTCTCAACCTCTCAAGTTCCGCCCGTAAAATCTTACGAGTTGGTTTTAAAAATTTCCGTGCCATCGGTAGAGGAGAGGTTTCGTCAATATTGACGGCTAAATTCAGGTAAATGATTAATTAGACATTTCGCAAAAGAACTTTCAGAGTTATTCATGACCTTCACATCAAATTTGCTTCATAACTGTATCTGACGGGTTGAGTAAATCCGCTCACAAATGAAACCAATGTGGTACTTTTAAAATTTACCGAAGGTCATTTTTCTTGCGCAACTTGAGGCGGAATTTCTGAGCTGTGACAGATGAACGCAATTTCCGGCCAAAGTTTTTACGCCAAAAATCATTACTTTTACCCACAGATTCATCTTTCTTGTGTCATTTTCATTACCAACTCAGTTCAAACTATCCTTTAAAAGTTAACAAGTTCACTCGATGTTGTAGTATCTACTCCCTTTTTACGAGTGTTGCGTAAACGTAAGAACGTTCGAATTATCACTAGCTGTTAGTAATTCTTTTTGTCAAAACCATACACAAAATTTGTCAGCTATAATTTTGATCAATGCTCGTCGAAAAATCAACAGCATCGTTGCTGAAAGCTAAATACAATGTAACAAAAAGAGATCTTTCAAGAAACCCAGAGTAGTGAAACATTTCTATTAATTGCTATCATTTAAGCCCTTCAAATAGTTTCAAGAGTTTT